TCTCCAACGCCGATGCCAGACTCAATTTCATGATTTTTAATTCTAAAAACACCAAATGCAAACAAGAACCAGTAAACTATGACTTGAGCTAATTAGGTGTTTTGTAACATATTTAAGATAGGAAAATTAATAAAAACCAATCCCAACACGCATCATATGCTTATCAAAATATTGACTTATAATACCACGTGTGGACCGTTCATAAATTTACATTAGAGATGCCTTTAGAGGCCATTAATATGTAGACCCCAATTCACATCATGGTGTAGCTTAATACATAGATATGATATATGCTCATTTATAAGAGTTTTTTGTTTTGTTTACACGTGAGTTTCTATAACAAAAGGTCAATTGGCATTATTCTAAAACTCACTAGCCGCTAGCCGGACGGTTGAGCGTCGACTAGGCAGGCGACTAGTCCGATTGTTTTGGCCGATTAATCCTCTAAAGTTAGGCCCACTTAGCACCTAGGCACCGATTAATCGGTCCGACTAGACAGATTTTTTTGAGCAGTTCTGATAGGATGATGAGTCCAAGATCTTAATATAGCACTTTATTAATTAATATTTTACTATTGTAGGATTCTAACACCCCTCTTCACGATCAGACACTTCATATGAATCATGTCGTCATTCATTTTTTCGTCAGATCATCATTGTCATTTTTATAATTGTATTGTCATTTTCATAAGGACCCACATCATGATTATGTATCAGTTTGGCCCTGAGATCGTGTTAAAATTCAAAATTTCATCCTAAATGTCAACTTGATAGTAGGAGTAGTCCACAATATTAATATAACACTTTATTAATTCATATTTTATTGGTTTGAAACTTCAAAAAAATTCAACGCAACAATATGCACAGTACATATGTAGAATGAGAGAGAGAGAGAGAGAGAGAGAGAGAGATACTACGTATATCAAAATAAATTAGTGACGTTAATCTCTCTGTCTTTTCGCAGTCTTATACGTGGTATGTTTTTGTAACTATTGTCTAATAATGCCATTTACAATGTCGATACATTGAAACGTTGTACTTGAATATTCTCAAAATGCGTAAATAGGACATCTATTATTTTCATCCTAAAATATGATTTGTCACTCCTGATTTGGGAGTTTCTATACTTTTAATAAAATCTAACAAGTCATTTTTGGGAATAAAACATAAATAATTTTATTTGTGCACTTTGTCTATGGTAAATTCTTACTTGAAGTACTTTCTAAAATTTATAAGTCACAACAATCTTCAATTAGTCGAGTACTGCTACCAAACTTAATACACTGTTAACCTTTTTTGAAACTTTTTCAAAGTTTTCACTCTATAATCATCGCTTTAATGATATGTTATTTCGAGGTTTCCGGTTAACCCTGATTCTTTCAAGCTGACATTTATTAGATTCACCTCATTTAATTTGTTGTCTGCATTGTGACAAAAATTTGATCTCAAAGATAATCAAAGTGTCTTTACCTCATATAACCTTTGAAAATCTCAAATAACTAGATTTAGATAACCTACAAATTGGAAGTATAGGTTAAGTTTTATATATATTTAAGTTTATCATTTTAACCAAGGTTAACATTCACCTAAATGAACTTTTACTTCATTCACATTAAGTTCAATTAAATTCAAGAAATTTATTTAAGTTTACTCTATCTAAAAACACCTTAAGGGCTCGTTTGGTACATTTGCACTAAAAATTTACCCACAAAATGCATGGTTACATGCAGGGTAGAGGTAGGGGCCATGACCCTCGATCGACTCCAAATTTTAAGTAATAATTAGCGTATAAAATTTCATGTAAAAGTTACTCAAAAGCTTTGGACCATGACATGCCCAAGGTGCATGCAAAGTTTAGAGAACAATTGGTATGCATATGAAATACCATACAATAATGTCCTTCCCACAAGAGTTACGTTGCAATAAGATCAAGTCAGCTTCCTTCCCCCGAAACGTCTCAGTGATTACCCATTTCCCCTTCACATTAGTTGCCTCCATAATCCACAACAACAATATGATTTTTTTGTTTTGGAACTCTTTTAATGTCAATCCTGATATCTGTGAGAGCTAGAAAGCCTATGGCAATCCCTTATATTTTAATACAGGGTGTATTTGAGTCGTAAACTGAAAAAAACTCTAAGTCCTATTTCTTCCAAGTTCCAAACCATAAGAGAAAAGCTAAAAACCTGCTCAACCATTACCCATATTCTTCAAACCCAGAAGAGAAAGAAGATTTGCACTTTTCACCTACAATTCAAGAAATTTTCTTCACAAGGTAATTACTAATTCATCCGTCAAATTTGATTCTTTTTCATCTAAATCATGAACTTAGTAAATCTACTCATCAATTTATATCATGTCTAACCGTCAAATTTGATTCTTTTTCATCTAAATCATGAACTTAGTAAATCTACTCATCAATTTATATCATGTCTATATAGTAACAATATAGAACTTAGTAAATCTTCATTGTTTTGTTTCTTTTTTGTCGGTAATATCACATATAATTTTTAGGTAAGTAGTGTTACTTTAACTTTTATTACTCGATATATATTTAGGAATTCACCAATTTGTGAGTTAATTATTGGCATTTATCATATTCATTATATGATATCCTTTAAAAAAACATTTATGATATTTTATGATTGTGTTTTGTATATTAACATGACCCAGGAAGTTATCACAAGACTTTAAGTCTGAATTATGCTACCTTAGTGGATCATAAAAACGTAGTCAATTTCACCGATCAAGTCATTTTGGACAGATGATAGATTTGAAGAAGCTAAGAAGCAAACTCCTTTTGTGGTTTAAGCCGACACATTATGTTAACGTTCCAATTCTATTTTCTGCATTTTTAGTTGGTAATAATCATCCACATGGGGGCTCAACAATTGGTAGGGAATATATTCACAGTGATAGATCGCCATGATTAGAGTAAAAAAGATTACTTTAATGGTGAGAAGTCAAAGTACATTGTTGGAAATTTTGTCACCAATTCGTATGAATTTTGAGCTATTCGAGAGACTTTTGCATGCGGTAAGGAATCATGACAATTACTTTACAATATAGGTTGATGCAATTGGTAACACAGGGTTGATTTTTTACATAAAGTTGTAGCAGTGATGGTTAGGATCGGTAGAGAAGAGGATTCACAATGTCGAAGCGAGGACGGGGAGGTTCCGCCGGAAACAAGTTCCGGATGTCGCTCGGTCTGCCGGTGGCTGCAACGGTGAACTGTTCCAACAACACCGGAGCAAAGAACTTGTATATCATCTCAGTGAAGGGAATCAAGGGTAGACTCAACAGGTTGCCTTCTGCTTGCGTGGGAGACATGGTTATGGCCACGGTGAAGAAGGAAAAACCTGATCTCAGGAAGAAGGTCATGCCTGTTTTCATCGTTCACCAGCGCAAACCCTTTCGCCGAAAGGATGGAAGAAGACACCTTTATGTGAATATGAAAGATTGAAGTTGAAGGTCCAACGATGGTGGAAATCCGAGCTTTGAAGAGGAAGAAGACACCCTTTTTTATCTGAGTTGGGTGTGAGATGGTGTGTTTTGAGTTGGGGATGGAAGAGAGCTTTTATATCTGGAGTTTTGTGGAAGGCGGCCAGAAGGGGGCCCGCCTTCCGGCCATGGTCGGCAGCCTTCCATCAAATCACCGACAAAGCTGCGTGCACACGTCAAATCCGCCGCAGGCGCCCGTGGAGGGCGGCCGCCTATTTGGCCGCCTCCCGTCTTGTCTCAGTGACCAGAAGCTCAAAAGTCACATCGCGCCGCAGGCGGCCACGGAGAGCGGCCACCTTCCGGCCCTTGTCGGCAGCCTTCCATTATTTTGTCCCCATGCAAAGCCCTGTGTGCTGAAACTGTCAAAAACTCGTAGGCGCCCAGAAAGGCGGCCGCCTTATCGACCTCCTCACGTGAAATGGAAAAGTTGTCTTCACGAAAGTTGTATATCTCTTTCTTGGCTAACTACTAATTTTTGAATTACATTCATTGGATTTGTAGTTTATGAGATATGACCAAAACGGTGAGCATGTGTCACTTTCCATCCCAACTGCAAATGTCTGACTTCTTTGAGCAATATGTCCATTCTACGATTGTTATTTAGTTCTGTGTTATTCATAAGAGTTGTAGAGCAAGAAGATGTCAATGTAATGCAACTCGTATCACGAACGTTGAGCAATCATGCGCAATGTTATGATCAAAATACGAACATGTGTCTCTATGCATCGTCCATTTTCATCAAAAGTGGCCATATAGGCGACTTCTTCTTGGTTTTGAACTTCCTTTCATGATTTTTTCATCTCGTGGACTCTTCTTTTTGAACAATTGGTCAACATATCTTTCAAACTTCCGTAGCAATTCATTTGTTGGGAAAAAATGCCACTTTCTTCACGCAATTGATCCGAATTTTCGCCAAACATATTATGAATGCGGTTTTCACCTGATTTCATGAAACTTGAACCAAAATATCTAAAACATGCCTTGTTTTTCTATTTTATATCTGAAAATCGCTCAAATATGATGAGAAAAATAAGTACAAAAATGGACTTATCAATTGTCATTTTCCATTTAATCAATGAATTTGTGGTTCCCATGATTTCTCCATCATTTACACAAACCCCATTCACATACGAAGTAATTTTTACTTTGTTACATACTCCGTATTATGCTACTCAAACTTGATAAAGTTTTGAGGGACCAAGGGAGCATTTCTCAGAGATTCCAAATAGTTGCGGTCTCCAGTTTCTTTTTTAATCGTTTGATACAAGAATAAAATGAGTGTGATTACTCTCTCCAGGGAGCTTTTAAGAAGGAAAAATTCACAACAATAATGGCACCTATTAGCCTTCTGCCATTATTAATCCCTTCAATGATTTATTCCAGATTAATCCAAATTAATGGGTTAAGCTTCCCAAAACACTCTCACGACATTGGCTACCGGGTTACCCGGTAAATATTTTTAAAAAGCCTACCTAACAACATCAAGCCTCTTTCAACCCTCTTTCAAGTGCGTTGATTTCTAACCCAGTTGTATCACCATTGCCGACAAACAACAGGTTGGTGAGATTGGCCAAGTGCACCCTTCAACGAATTGAAACGAGTTCACCAAGAGCAGCGTAATACCAGACGAAAGCTCAAAGAAGAATGGTAAAATAATTTGTCTTTGATTTTCAACATAGTTGTTTAATAGTTTTTCTCTACTCATTGGGTTGTCCGAAAAGTTACGGTTGGTGTTGTATCATTTCAGTTTTGAGTATGTTGACAATATATGATTCTTGGTGTTTGCTATTGTTCGTATTTGAGTATCTTTGGTCATAAAAAGTTGAGTTGTGATGTGTTTAACAATTATATTTGCTTAATAGGGTTTGGGCGAAACTCAAGTCAGCCTACGCATATGGCATGGGGGAATATTTAAGAAGAACTGTCGTGGAAGACTTGAATATGTGGGAGGTCAGTTTAGGATGTTCGATATAGATGCAGATGAGCTATGTTGGTTTTGGTTAGAAGATTTGGCTAAGAAATGTGGGGACTATTGTACAATAGATGCCATTTACTACATGGTACCTAATGTAACTTATGAAGAGGGATTACGAAGGGCATATCATGATGATCAAGTTAGAGATATGATATCATTAGTGTTAAAGGCCAAGTGCATTGACTGCTATGATATTCATGGAATTGATGTTCCTGATTTAATTGAAGCCATTGATTATGTGGGACCTAGTGTTGGTGGAGAGATAATATCATCCAACAACAAGAAGAAACTTACTCCAAAGGGAGGAAGTAAGGGAAAGGGTGTTACAGATGAAGTTTCTTTAACTTCTCTTCAAGAAATTGCTATGAAGAATAATAATGACAGTTCTTTCACACAGCCCTTGACAACTGATTCAGAAGCATTTGAGAGTGACAAACCAAAAATCCATTTCACATGGGATGAAATGGAAGAGTCATCTGACCCAGAGTTTCATCCAGCAAGTGAAGAGGAGCACATAAATGGTGAAAGTTCTGATTTGGAATGTCTTATTACAAATGATGAAGACATGGCCACATAGAGGAGGGGTTGTTTGGATATGAGGAAGATACAAGTGATGAAGAGTATCAAAAGGTGAGGGAAGAAGTAAAGGGCTGGAATGATAAGGTATTGGAGATTTCCAGTACACTTCAAAAGGAAGCCGTTGAGGGTAAACTTCCAGGACAAAGTCACAGAAGAAGTAAGACTCATGTGCAAGAAAATAAAGACCGTGATTCTGCCTTTAATAGTGAATATGAAGACACAGATGAGGAAATGTTAACACCTGATGAAGATGAAGAACAATACCAATTGAAGAAAAAAATGAGGGAAAAGATTCTAATGGTGAATGAACACACAAATTACAACATATTGGAGTGGAAAGTAGGGACCAGGTTTGAAAGTAGGGGAAAATTCAGAGATGCGGTGGTTAGGTTTGCAGTGGCCCAAGGGAGAAACCTAATGTTCAGTGTAAGTGATAAGAAACGGCAGCAAAGGTTGGGTGCAAAATGTGTGCCCGGGTGTCCCTTCAGGATATATGCTAGTCGGGATAGTAGAAGAGGCTCGTTTGTGGTGAAATCACTGGTGGGTTCTCACATGTGTCACAGAAACATGGAGGCTAATAAACAACTTAAATCTTCATGGGTACCTAAACAGTTTCTAGAAGTTTTTAAATCAAGACCCCATTGGCCGGCTAAAGAAATTATTGAAACTGTAAGAAGGGCATACAGAGTTGTTGTTAAGAAGAACTTTGCTTACAAAGTGAAGTACATTGCCCACAGAAAACTTCATGGAAGTATGAAGGATCACTACAACAAACTAGGGAGGTACTTAGAGGCCCTGGCTCTTGCAAGTCTTGCTAGTCACTTCCAGCTTGAAGTTAACCCGGAATTGAGAGTTTCCCCCCTGTATTTCAGAGGCTTTTTGTGTGCTTTGATGGTGTTAAGCAAGGATGGTTACAAGGGTGTAGAAAAGTCTTGTGTGTGGATGGATGTTTTCTAAAAACATTTCTAGGTGGTGTGTTGCTATCAGCTATTGGAAGAGATGCAAATGAGCAAATGTATCCTCTTGCTTGGGAAGTGGTAGAAGGGGAAAATAATGACAGTTGGGAGTGGTTCTTCATTCAGCTTAACAAACCAATTGGTGAAACAGATGGTTCTGAACTCACAATAATTTCTGATGAACACCGGGTAAATCTGATTATTCCTCATTTTTGGCTGATTGTACTTTATGATCATTCTTCTTGCACTAAATATATTTTACTATTTTCATAGGCTATTCTGAATGGAGTACAGAAAGTTATCCCTAAAGCAGAACACCGACACTGTGCGAGGCACATATATGCTAACTGGCACAAGAACCATAAAGGAGATGAGCTGAAAATGGCCTTTTGGAAAATAGTTAAAGCATACAATGAGGCTGACTATTATGATGCTTTGACTGAGATGGAACAACTGAGCCCAACAGCCACACAAGCTTTCAAAGCCTATGATCCAAGAAGATTATGTAGGTCTTTTATACAAACAAAGACCAAATGTGATGTCATTGTTAACAACATGGCCGAGACATTCAATGGTTATATTCTAAATGCTAGAACAAAGCATTTGATCTTCGTGATGGAAGACATCAGGACAGCTTTAATGCAAAGAATTGTTCAGAAAAGACAAATGGAAGTTAGTCACCATTTCATATGTCCTAGGATACAGGCAAAATTAGAAAAAGAGAAGGAAGAAGCAGCTAAATGTGCAACAATGCCATCATCTCTTATGTTATTTCAGGTGAGCCATAAAATGGATAGTGTCACTGTGGATCTGACATGTAAGACCTGTACATGTAGAAAATGGGAATTGACTGGAGTCCCATGTTGTCATTCCATTGCGTGCATGTTTTTTCTCCACCACGCCCCTGAAGAGTATGTGCATGATTATTACAAGAAACAGACATACATGAAGGCATACAGTGGTTCTATCCCCCCATGTTGTGGTGAAAGACATTGGCCAAGAAAAGAGCTTGCTTTGGACCCTACTCCAATAAAAATAGGGCCTGGGAGACCGAGGAAAAAGAGGCGAAAAGATCCACATGAAGAAAAAAAACCGGGAAGTTAACCAAGTATGGAATGGAGATGTCTTGTAGCATATGTAAGTCCAAACTACACAATAAAAGGAAATGTCCTGATAAAGACAACATCACATCCTCAAGTGTTCAAAACCAAGTCAAGAAACCAAGGGGAAGACCTAGGAAGCATGGCATACCTTCTGTTGAGACTGAAAGGCAAAGTGAGTATGGTAATGTGACTGCCCAACCAACACAAACTGGAAGAGGTGGAAGGGTAATCATGAGAGGCAGAGGGAGAGGAAAAGGGAGAGGGAAAGGCACCCAGGTATGCATAGCAAATTTGAACTATGATATGATGTTGTACCTTGTATTTATTATGTGTTTTTACTAGATGCAGGTCCCTCGGGGTTTTGGCGTGTTCACTGATGGCCAAGGAAACACCATTGTTAATGTGAGAAACTGTTTTTGTAATACAATGTGTGTTTTTTTATCTTGGTGTTTAGGTGTGCTCATTATTTTTTGGTGTTCTATTTTTGTAATCTGTACTAAGGTTATTTTCATTATTTAGTTCTTAGGCTGCTTTTTTTAGTGAATGTGCAGTAGCTATATGTTACAAGTGAAAACTTAATTCAAGAGCAGTCATTTACAAGTTTATTTTCAGCTTTGCTAATATTCTAATTTCAATTTCATACATTAATGTCTATTTTGTGGTCTGTTTTTGTAGTCACCTGGTCAAGTTGGAGGTCCCAGAGTGATTTCAGGGAGTGGATGTCCTCCTTCAAGCAACGCTGGTGCACCTCCTTGAAAGAATGAAGTGATTTGGATGCAATGAAGTTGTAAAAGATGTTGTTTTCCATTTGAAGTTCTTCTGTATTGTTGTTTAATGGAACTTTTAGAGAATGATGTATTTTACTTTTCTGCAATGACTTTTGTTGACAAGTTTATCCTGTTAGACAATGACTTCTGTTGACAATTTGAATGTGGTTTTTGCCTTTTCTGCACTTTGCCTTTACTTTATATGCATTCATATGTTACATGAAAGGTATATATGCACAGAGAATGATCACCTCATTTTTTTAGTGAATGGGCAGTAGCTATATGTTACAAGTGAAAACTTAATTCAAGAGCAGTCCTTTACAAGGTATATATGCATTCATATGTTACAGAGAAAGGTATATAGTCTGTTTATTTGTTTAAAGCTTTTGTCCTGGATAGTTTTTTTGACATTCCTTGAGCATTATTTCCTTGTTGTACTTCCTTCATGAAGAAAGGAAAACTAAGTAACTGTTGAGACATGAGATAATGTATAGCAGTTTGCTGTGATTTTTTTTTGGCTACTGATAAACTGGGAAGTAGTTAGTTTGTCAATGACTTGTGGAAGGTCTTCCTAGCAGCTCTTAAGCATTACATTAGGCAGAAATGTTTAAGATCCCAAAATGGAAGATGGAACATAGAACATTCCATTCAATTACATGTAACTTAAATACCATTACATCAAATAACAACTTGTGATAACTATTACATTACTTCAAAAAACTAACAATCCCAAATACAATCAAAGAAGCAACTACAACCATAATAGCAAATGTTTCTCCTCTGCAACTTTTGCAAGCCACCAAACTAGACCCAGTTATCATAGCAGCTAACTCTTTTTTCTTTTTCTTCAACTTTTGCACCTTTTCCTCCAATGCTCTGTTTTCGGCCAACAACTGATCAATTAACAGGTCTTTGTTCTTCATTTTGTGCACATTATCTTGGATGTCATTGTCATTACACCATTGAAAGAAACCACAATCTGAATTCTGTAACCAACAACATACAGAAATACAAGTTCATAGCACTAATCAGTCCAATGTCCTGGTTCACATTTAGTGCTCAAGTTCATAGCACTAATCTCAAAAATTCAAAATCTGAAAAACGGCTCTTCTAGTTTATGTATGCACTTCGTGTTAGCAGAATAGAGCATTTCTTTGAGTGGGTAGTAATAATAATAATATAATAATAATGCAATAAGTGAAACCGGCCAAAAAAGTTAGTAATTCCTCCAACGTAAACTACATTTGATTTCAATGGCCAAAAGTTAGTAATTGTGATTTAAACTCAACCAGATTCAAATGAATTCAGTTTTTTCATCAGCCACTAAAATTCCTAATATTTTTATCCTACAAACAAATAAATTCAAAATTCAGAAAAGAGGATACTTACTGGCCATAGCGAGCAGCCATGGAATCTCCGTCCCAAGTTCGGACCGCTCTTTACCGTTCGTAGCTTCGCCTCAATTTTGTGATGACAGGTACGCCCAATTTCTACTCTGCTTGAGTTACATGTCCAAGAAGATGAACCGCTAACTGACTTCATGAGCGATTTAGTCATTCTCCTGTGTGACCTGGTGATGGATAGTATACCCGGGGGTAGCTTATCCGAGGGGTTATTACGGGGAATAACTAGAGAGAAGTCAGAGCAAGTAAGTAGAGAGAGAGAGTATATTAGAAATGTATTCAGCGTATTTGCTTCCTGTTACAAATGGGGAGATGGGGTGCTATTTATAGTAGTAATAAATGCCAGATAGGGACACGTGTCAAGCATCCATTGGCCGAGGGGTCACCTCAACTGGTTGGCGTTGGCAATCGCATGTGGCCGCATTTAATGCGGCTGTTGGATGGGACGTCGTACTTGGTACGGTGATCCCTGCGCATGTGGAGCGGATATTATGTCGGAAAAGGTGCCCTCGGCTGTAGATGATTAGCCGAGGGCTCTGAGTACCGGGGACCTCCTTAATGCCGAGGGCTCTAGGTGCCGAGGGCTACTGATTTTCGCCGTTTACTCCCAGTAACTTTGTTTTCCTGATTTTGCCATCCTGTAAGAATCGGAGCCTTCGGACAGGGGGGCGAAGGCACTCCTAGTGCGCCACGTGGGTTGCTTAGTACTTGGGGCGCCGTGACCTGGGCTTGCTGTGCTTCCTGGGCCTATTGGACCTCCATTAGAATAGTAGGAGTCTATGGGCCGGGGGTTCCTGGGCCATATACTCCATCAGGAGTCCCTCACTCCTTTTACCGAAAGGTACTTGAGGGAAAAGGAGTAATATGTGTTTGCCCTTTTGGTGTTGTTCCGTTGTAATCTGTAGAGTTTGTGAGTAGTTTGTTGTGTGCACGTTTCAGCCGAGGGCAGTCCCTCAGTTACCCACATTCCGGGACTTGAGGGATCATGCTCGTTGTTTGTGGGAGTTTTTGGCATTTTTTGTATTTTGAGAGATTTTCCCGGAGGGGTCCTTCAGTCCCCCACTCCTTGAGGCACTTGCAAAGTGATGAAAAGGAGTAGAGTAGTGCCTGGTTGCAATATGAAGCCGAGGGGTGGCGAGAGAGAGAGCGTGAGGGTCACTGTCGCTGTTCTCCCCCCTCGCGACGCTGGTGAGGCCAGCACCTCTCGGCCACTGAACGCAGTCCCTCTACGGGTGGCCCCCGGGAAGAAGAAGACGAAGGGCGTCGCTTCAAAGAAGAAAGGCAGTGTTGCCGACCAAGGGAAGCCCGTCGACATGCCCGAGGGGTACTCCTACTTGAATACCGCCGCCCTTGACATACGGTCGAAGGCTGATGGGGCGGACCTCTACGTTACACAGCTCCATGTGGGGCCCTCGGCGATGGTAGTGCCACCGGGAGCTGATGATGTCCTCTCCCAGGCTCCCGAGGGGTGTATAGCCGTCCATATTCTCTCGGTGTCTATGGGCCTCCGATTCCCCCTGCACCCTTTTTTGCGTGAGTACCTTCGGTACGTAGGACTGCTCCCCTATCAGCTCACGCCGAATAGCCATTCGTACATCGTGGGCTTCCTCCACCTCTGCAAGTCCCGGGGGGTAACGCCTAGCCTGGACCTATTCTTCTAGAGTTTCAACTTGTGTCGGGGGGGCATGCGAATGCTGGGGGGTTCGCTAACTTGCAGCAGGTGGCATTGTTCAAGCCGTTTACTGAAGCGCCTTCCTCAAACAAAGGATGGAAAGACCAATGCTGCTATGTGAAGCTGGCCGAGAGCCCATTCCCGAGGGAGTTGCGCGACCGGTTCAGGCATCATGAGAAGAGGAGGAGCGCCGCCCTCGAGAAAGATGGCAGGATCCTGGATAAGATCCCGGAGGGTCGGAACAAGAACATCACCATCAAGGAGTGCACCCAGGAGGGGGATCTGTACGCCCTCGGGTTCCGACGGTACCGTTTCCTGAGGGAAACAGACGAAAAGTACCCGATGTTGTTAGGCATAGGCGTAGGCATCTCTTTTTTTAGGAGGTAGGGGCCGAGGGCATCCAACCTTTAGACTTATGAATATTTTTGTTAGGCGTAGGCATCTCTTTTATTTTGTTGCACCTTTTCTCCTCCGGTCTTAACCGCCCTCATTCTTTTGCAGGTATCAACATGGATCTCAACGCCTTCGCCGCCCTCAAGAAGCAGAAGGCTAAAGTCCCGGGCCAGAAGGAGCCCAGTAAGCAGAAGCCCCTCGGGGAGTTCTCGAAGAAGGGCAGTGAGCCTTCGGAGGAGGCCGCCAAGAGGAAGGCCGCCGGTAAAGCCCCAATCCCCGAGGGGAAGAGGCCAAAGAAGGGGGACGCTGGGAAGAAGGCTCTCCATGTGTGGTTGTGGATGAGCACTCCACCTCCGAGCCCTGTGCCCAAATGATGACGTCTGCTTCCCATTTGCCCTCGGGTCAGGGGGTGAGGTAAGCTTGCCCCGGGAGGACATACAGTTCTCCCTGCCGAAGGGGGATGCCATCACACATGGCACCGTAGACCCTCGGGAGTTCCTGGGCGGGGCTACCCCTGCATTGGACAGGAAGGCCCTCGGGAAGCTTGATGACGAAGCTCTCGAGTCAAAAAACCTCTGGTCCTCCCTTACTGTAAGTTCTTCTCCTTCGTTTTTCTTTTTACATAGTGGTTTATTTCCCCTATCTGTTGCATGATGGTAGCCTTACCCCCTAACGTTGTTGTTGTTAACAGGCCTGCATAGCCCTCGGCGAGCATGCCAGAAGATTTGACGAGTGGTGCCTCCAGAAGGCGCAACAGAATGAGTCAATGAAAAAACTCATCCATGACAACGCCGAGGCCATGAGGCAAATGGCCCAGCTGGAAGGAGACCTTCGGCAGGCGAGGGCTGCAGCGGAGAAGGCGGCCAAGGAGAGAGCTGAGGTCGAGAAGGCTGCTGCTGAGGCCGCAAGGAAAGCTTCCGAGGACGCAGAGGCCACCAAAGCAGAGGCCGCCGCTGGTGCTGTTGCTGCCTTCATGGCCGAGGGGTGGAAGGCAGAAGGCCACAAAGATTGGGTGGCCTCGGTCGTGGAGGGATCCGCCGATGGGTGGGTGAAGGGCCCTGGGGCGATGTGGCTAGCCCGAAAGGGCGAAGACTATTATGCTGGGGGGGAATTCTTCACCCAGGCCCTGATCTACAGAAGGCTTACGCGACATCTGAAGATCGAGCCGAAGGCCTTCGACCCAGCGGCATATGGCCTCCCCCCTCCAACCAGATATCAGAGTCCCCCTTCCCGAGGGAATCGAAAGGCCAGAATTGGAGGACTCTGAGCTGTTGATGGAGGCCGGGGGGGATGAAGCAGAGGCTGGCACGAAGGTCATTTCAAAGCCCGTAGAAGAGGCTGCCACCGGGGCTGATAATATTTGCTTTGTACTTAGCACATTTTGAACAATTTTGTTGTAACGAATATTTGTATGCTCTCGGCCTCGGCCATTTTGTAATATACACTTTAACTTTTCCTTCCTTTAGATGAATGAATACCCGCCTTCGGGCTTTTGCATATAATTTGTTTCCTTTGATCGTTTTTCTTTGAATGTATGCCCTCGTCTTTTCTGAATGTATGCCTTCGTCTTTCTTTGAATGCGTGTTAGGACTTAGAATATATTGCTCTAAGTATAGTGCCTCCCGTAGCCCTCGGCTACCAGGCCTATTTAGTCATCTGAACATTTTGTCGAGGGCCCAACGTTCAGGACTTAGAATTTTTTCTAAGTGTAGTTCATCTGTTGGTCCCCGACTAATTCCTTCCCTCTGGTTCAGTGTAGCCCTCATGAGATAACCGGAGGCAAGGTGCTTAGGACTTAGAAAACTTTTTTCTATGTGTTTGAATACCGTCTAGCCTTCGGTACGTGGGTACCCTTCGCTGCATGGAAATATAACCGAGGGCCCAAAAATATTTAGGACTTAGAAAATATTTCTAAGTGTAGTTTCACCAAGCCTTCGACCGTGTGGCCCCTCTGGCTGCGTGGAGATTTGACCGAGGGTCGAAAATATTTAGGACTTAGAAAATATTTCTAAGTGTAGTTGTATGAGGTAGGAGCCTTCGGGTGAAATGTGAGAGCCTTGTCGTAGGTGTACCTTCGGTTGACCGGTGACTCGACTGAGGGTAAAGTACTTAGGACTTAGAAAATTTTTCTAAGTATTTCCTGTTGCTAGCCTTCAGGCGGGGACCCTTCGGCTGTATACTTTGCGGGTCTAGGACAGTTTCCTTTGTCTTGCAATGTTGGCCTGCGGCAACAAAAGCCTTCGGCTGTTGTTATGTCTTCACAGTGTTGACTTAGGAAAGTTTGTAATCCAAGTCTAGCATAAAAAGACAGACTCCCTCGGACCTTGTCTGGGTGTATCCCCTCGGCATCTAGTGAGGCGCCGGAGGTGATTCTTGCTTTGATTTGGCCAACATCTGATAGCTTCGTCATATAGTAGCCTTCGGGGACGTTTTGAGTTGTTGTTGAGTGAGCCTGTCATGTTTTGTAGGATTTGAGCCCTCAGTTTTGGTATAACCGGAGGCAATCCCAAAGTGGACTTAGCCATTTCTTGATGATGTTTGTTGAATAGTACCTTTGGTAATTAGGAGCTTCCAGGTACCGAAGGTGTTCCCGTGGGGAGCCCTCGGTATGTTCCCGTGAATTTGTTGGAGTGGTGTACTCATTGATTTCTTGCTGAGTCTACTCCCCTTCACAACCTTTTATTTATTTATTTTTTTAGGTGAAGGGAAGGCTTCAAGAAACTTGGTTTCTTGGTAAGGCTTGGCCTATCGGGAGGTAACAGAATACACCATTAGCTCCCCCCTCGGGTTAACCTTCCGAGTTCCGAGGGGATCGAGGGTCGTTTCCTGGGCACAAGACATGGTCTGTAGCCTGCCTCCCCTTGGGAGATGGCACGGAAAGCACCTCAGTTTTGAAAGTCGTCCCCTCGGCGCCAGACATAGTCCGTGGCCTGCCATACCCTTGGGGTAGTGACATGGGGAGCGTTTCGATTTGGAAGTCCAATCCTGGGCATATTAGATGCCTGCCAATCCTTTGGGGAAATGGCGCGGAAAGCGTTCCGTTTTTGAAAGTCGAATCCTGGGCATATTACTTGTCTGTCACACCCTTGGGGTAGTGACGCGGAAAGGGTTTCAGGGAAGGGTTTTCATTTGCACACTGGTTGCAAATGGCCGGGGGCACTACGTGCTACCGGCACTGATAGGTGGCGCCTTCGGTATAGGCGTCCTTGAGGGGTACGACTTTAGAAACAACACTTGGTGTTTGTTCCGGTGCTCGGCCCCCGACACTTGGTACCGAGGGGTCTTCTGTGAAAACACTTGGTGTTTTTCCTTCATTTGTTGTAGGTGATTGGGGTGTCTACCCTCGGTACTTGGTACCGAGGGGTCTTATGTGAGAACACTTGGTGTTTTCTTCTGTTTGTTGAAAGTTGTCAGTGGTGTATCCCCCCCGGCGCTGGGTGCCGAGGAATCTTCTGTAGGAACACTTGGTGTCCTTTTCTACGCTGTGGATGGCAGTATAGTCTATCCTCGGCACTTGGTGCCGAGGGTTCTTCCTTGTAATTGGCCTTGGGCCAGGGGTCGATATGAGGGCTTGGCCGCTCATAAGAGTCTTGTTCCATGTTCTTGGTGTCTTCAATATGCCTTCATCCTTAAAAAAATTTAGGCCTTGGGCCACAAAATAATACATTCACTAGTTATGAGGGCTTGGCCGCTCTGATGTTATTGATAAAATTTAACTAAGTGATGTACATTCCAATGTCTAGGGACTTCAGTCCCATTGGGGCGTTTTAGTTTGTAAGTTCCTGGTTTGATGGTGGCCGCCACGATGTAGGGGCCTTCGAACCTTGGCGCCATTTTTCCGCCCTCGGTTGGTTGGCTAGCTTCCCTTCTTCGGAGGACATAATCCCCCACTTGGAATTCCCAGGATCGGACTCTGGCGTCAATGTAACTCTATACTTGCCTTCGGTAGTTTTCTGCGCGTATGAAGGCTTGCTCTCGGCGTTCTGAAATAAGGTGAAGGTCGAGGGCCATATTGGTGTCGTTGGCCTCTGGATCATATTGTATGACCCTTCGGGTTGGAAGAGTTACCTCAGTGGGGGCCTTAGCTTCAAATCCGTAGCAAAGGGAGAAGGGTGTCTCTCCAGTTGCCCGCCGAGGGGTGGTACGGTAGGCCCATAAGATGTTGTGGAGCTCTTCTACCCAACCACCCCCTTCGGCCTCCAGTTTCTTCTTTAGGCCCTCGAGCAAGGTACTGTTGGCGTTCTCCACTTGACCGTTTCCCTGAGGGTAGGCAATGGATGATAAGGTGTGTTTGATACCCCATGCCTCCAGGAGGGCGCAAAAGGGGGCTGCCTCGAACTGAGTCCCGTTGTCGGAGATGATTTGCTGGGGGACGCCAAACCTTGTGAGGATGTTTTTGAGAACAAAATGACGGCACCTGGCCTCAGTAATGCTGGCGAGGGGCTCAACTTCCACCCATTTGGTGAAGTAATCGATGGCGGTGATGATGTACCTGTTGTTGGAGGTACCCCTCGGCAGAGGGCCCACAAGGTCTATGCCCCATCGAGCGAAGGGTATGGATGTGCTGATGGGGGCATAGTTGACCGCTGGCCTGCCGGGGGCTTTCTGGAAGTGTTGGCATGCGGAACACCTTCGGGCAAGATCTGCACAATCCCGGGCCATCGTAGGCCAGAAGTACCCCTGTATTATTAGACTTCGGGACATGGAGAAGGGTCCCTGGTGAGCTGAACAAGTGCCACTGTGCACTTCCTCCATCGCCACTTCGGCTTCATCTTGATGAAGACACTGAAGTAATGTCCCGTTGTAGGACCTTTTGTAAAGCCTTCCGTCCTCGATAGCGTAGTTGGGAGCCCTCAGCTTTGCTAGCTTGGCGCGGGCCTCATCCTCGGGCAGTTGCCCTGTGGTGATGAAGGCGACAATGTCTGAGATCCAGTCATCCTGCCTTTGTTGTATGTTCATGACGAGGCTAGCATGTATGCTAGAGAGGCTGAGCTCTTCCACTTTGGCAATCTTTGAGATATGCTCAGGGGATTCGGCCGAGAGCTTGGATAAAATGTCGGCCTCAGAGTTTTGAGCCCTCGGTATTTGAGTAAGAGAGTGTGCCTCAAATACCTTAAGCAACTCCTTGGCCGCTTCCTTGTACTGCTTCATTCTCCCTTCTTTGGCTTCGTACTCCCCGGAAATTTGGCCGACAACTAATTTGGAGTCGCATTTGACGTGGATCTGTCGGGCCTTCATGTTGGCTGCCAGCCGAAGGCCACAGAGGAGGGCCTCGTATTCGGCTTCATTGTTAGAGACTTTGAAGGAGAAGCGGACTGCATAATAGGCCCGGAAGCCTTCGGATGAGATAAGAACCACCCCTCCTCCACATGCTTTGACGGCGGAGGAGCCATCGGTGTAGAGGGTCCACCAATCATCCGAAGGGGCCGAGGGCTCCTCGTCCGTGGCTGATCTTGCCGTACATTCCGTCACGAAGTCCGCCAGGGCTTGGCCCTTGATGGCGGGCATAGGACGGATGTCGATGTTGTATTGGCTCAGGAAGACAGCCCATTTTACCATTTGAGAGGAGCTGGTGGGGATCCTCATCAAAGCGCCGAGGGGTTGGTGTGTGAGGACCTGGACCGGGTGAGCCTGGAAGTAATGGCCCAACTTCTTGATGGTCCACACGATAGCCAACACCGTTTTTCCACAGGGGAGTACCGGAGCTCTGCTTCCCTGAGGGTCTTGTTAACATAGAAGATGGCATGTTGGATGACATCCTTTTCCTGGATGAGTACTGAGCTGATGGATGCCTGGCTAACACCCAGGTAAAGGTATAGGATCTCCCCCACCTTGGGTTTAGAGAGCACAGGGGGTGAAGATAAGTACCGTTTCAGTTCCTCGAAGGCCCCCTGACACTCTGAAGTCCACTGAAAACCGGCGGTTTTTCTCATGATCTGGAAGAAGGGTAAGGACTTCTCCGCCGATTTTGATAAGAAGCGATTGAGGGCTGCCAGGCGGCCCGTCAATCGTTGGACCTCCTTCATGTTGCGTGGGGGCTCCGTGTTGATGATGGCCTGGATCTTCTCGGGGTTCGCCTCGATACCCCTTCGGCTCACCAT